AGGAGGCAGGAGGAGCAGAACAGTGGGTTCTGAGGTACTAATTTTAGAGATTTTGTGATGAGTATTTATGAGGTGGTTGGCATATTCACGGCAAGGTGGGCCTTTTTAATCTCATAAAGTGATATTCTGACCCTAAGGGGATAAGAGTTATCAAGATCCATCTTTTTGTTGTTACCACATAGCTACCTCCTTTTTGAGACTGCTGAAGGTCCCAGGAGCTCAAAGTTGCCTGTTAAGAAAACAAAAGCTTTCTCATGAAAGTTGGGGCCAGGGTCTCACAACTGACCAACAGGCTGCACAAAGAGGCATAGGGCACTTAGGCGGTTTTTAGGATCCTCCCCCACCCTGCACACACACTTTTTTCCACTCATATCTATCTTCTACTTGTCATTTTGACAGCTGCTCCTTGACAGGCAGCCCAAATTCTGATTAGTTTGATTGATTTATTTTGGTTGGGGGGAAGCAAACAAACTAGGTAAGTGTTTCAGCACTGAGTCACACTCTCAGCTCGCCCTTTGGTTACTTGTTTGTTTGTTTGTTTGTTTGTTTGAGACAGGGTCTCACAATGTAGCCTGGCTGGCCTGGAATCTGCTATGTAGACCAGGCTGGCCTCAAACTGACAGAGATCCTCTTGCCTCTGCCTCCTGGGTGCTGGGACTAAAGGTATGCCCTGGTATTTATGTAGTTATCCGAACAGGGTCTTACTGTGCTGGAACCTGAGGTTCTCCTGCTTCCAACTCCCATGTGCTAGGATTACAAGTGTTTACCACCAAACCCGGTTCTGCTTCGGTTTCTAAAGGCTCACAGTCAATAATAAATGTAACCAAACGCTAAACCGTATTCTATAACTGAAATAAAAATCACTCAACTTAGGAATAGCCAAGATAGACTCTTGATTTTTAAGGTATAAAGAGCAAATCATTTTCCCAGCCCTATAAGAGCTCTTTTGAAAGTGATGGAACTAAAAAGAGCAAGGGTGGTGATGCATCTTATTGAGGGTGTTCTCCCCCCTCTTTTCATCCCACTCCACCTCTGTGAGCCATCTGTGGTAGATAAAATTATTATTCAGTAAATATTCTCTCCTCCCCGCAGTACCCCCAAGGGAAGAATGGTCAGCCTTCGTAACGTCTGGTTCAGGATTTAAGCAACTGAAGACTGAAAATATTTGGCACGTAGTCTCCCTTGTTCTTCCTTAATCGACACAGTGCAACAATGATGTACACAGTATGTGCATTATTAGATAGTCTAATGGAGAGATGATTTAAAGTATACAAGAGGATTTGTGTATAGATTATAAGCAATAAATAGATTTTTGTTCAGAATTTTTTCTTCAGTGCTCAGGATCAAGTGCAGGTCTCTGTATATGACTACATTCTCAGCCCCAAATACTCTACCATTTTATATAAGGACTGGAGCCTCCTTGGATTTTGGCTTATTGATGGGCGAAGTCCATTATCTACTCTAAGCCTTTAGGTGAGACCCTATAATGTGCCTTTGCCAATGCACTCTTAGCTGATGGACACTGGCAGATAGATACGTGACCTATGCTTGTGCAGTTGGCCTTGACTGCTTCTACATCTGGCATCGTATACGACACTCGCATGGACTGGTAGTCCTTGCCCCCTCAACATGGGCCCCATACTAAGATGCTCAAATCAAAATGGTCCCAACCGCCCCACACATTTCCACCTTGAAGCAGAGCCCCGAGTGAGCTCTACCTGCTCTGAGCTGCTAGCTTAGGAGGAGGTCTGCTATGGAGACTTACTGTCGCAACTTGTTTAAAAACAATGGTAATGCTGGTTGGCTCAGAAGACGCAATGAAGATGAGCTAAAATCAGCTGAGGATTTCTTATCTCAAACCTTCAGGATTAAATGTTTTTAGAATGTAGATCTTTTCTAGATTTTATAAAGGCAATGTGATGCAAATATATGTGCTTGGTAGTACTTCTAAGAGCCTTGGAATCACAAAAGTCAAATACATCGAGGTCTACAGTGAAACAGACCAACAGTCTCAAAGTATATTAAGACAGTATGCAGGATCCGGGAAGATGGTTCGGTGGGTAAAAACACTGTGAAGGTAAAAGGACCAGAGCTCAAATTCCCAGCACTACATAAAAGCAGGCATGCTACTGTGTCTATAATCCCAACACTGCAGGGTAGAGGCCAGGATCCCAGGAGATGGATGGTCAGCCCATCTAGCTGAAATAGCTTCAGGTTCAACAAAGAAACCCTGGCTTAAAAGATAAGGTATAGGGCCGATGAGCATTTGCTGCACACATCTGACAATCTTTTTTTTTTTTTTTTTTTTTTTTTTTTTTTTTTTTTTGGTTTTTCGAGACAGGGTTTCTCTGTGTAGCTTTGCGCCTTTCCTGGAACTCACTTGGTAGCCCAGGCTGGCCTCGAACTCACAGAGATCCGCCTGGCTCTGCCTCCCGAGTGCTGGGATTAAAGGCGTGCGCCACCACCGCCCGGCTACATCTGACAATCTTAATTCCATCCCCAGAACCCACATAAATGTAGACGAGAATGATTCCACAAAGTTAGGCTTTGTATTATCGTTTGTATCACCGCACACAAGATCCCAAATATGTGCAAACACACACGTAATTACGTTTTTAAAAATTAAAGCTGGGTGTGGTGGAGCATTTCTTTAGTTCTGGCAGATCTCTGTGAGCTTGAGGCTAGCCTGGTCTATCTAGTGAGTTCCAGGTTAGCCAGAGCTAGATAGAAAGAAAGACCCTGCCTCACTCAAAAAACAAAACAAACAATTAAGTTTAAAAGAAATAATAAGGGGCAATTGAGATGGCTCAGGAAGTAAAGGTACTTGCCCCACAAGCCTGGAGACCTATGCTCAATCCCCAGTACCAACATAAAGGTAGAAGGAGAGAACTCACTTCAGGCTTCCACACATGCACCATGGCACCACCACCACCTTCCCCTAACCCTGCACACAAAATAACACACACACACACGTTTTTTTAAATAAGGTTGTAAGTAATAGAGAAAAACACCCAATGTCATTCTCTGGCCTCTCATTTGCATGCATGGATGCATGCAGTCACATATATAGACAAAGACTGTAGTTTTGCATATAAAGTACACAAGTGTACGCATACACAGGCCCACACAATAAGACCCTACATCGTCTTTATACACACACAGTATGCACTGTATGTCCTACCTACCTACACAGCCTATAAATAAACTATAGACTGTAATAGGTTCAGGTCAGATAGGACTAATCTCATCTCATTTATTCTGTCTCTGTGTCATCAAGGCTGGCCTTGATTTCTTGCCCAGCCTGCCGAAGCTGGAACTCCAAATGCATGCCACCGTACCTGCACACCTGACAACCACACTCTTTCCCTCAATGTTATTTTAATTTCAATAACCCTGTAATCAAGTTATAATTATTGTGAGTCACCATCTCAACCTTCTGTGGAAATGGATAGAATACAACTAATTTTTAATTTAAAATGAATATTTACATCTAATTAACTTGTAAGCTTGTGATATTTATCATTGCCTAAATTCTTCTGCTTTTCTCAACTTAAACAAGGAACTGGACAAGGCATTAAGAAAACCAAACAAGAATTCTTCTAGCGTCAAAGAGGAACTGGGCTTCCTTTACACAATGAAACACTGTGACACGTGCCCGGGATAATATAGAATCAGATATTGCTTCTGTTCACTTAAGAGCCTCCTATTAGAGAGGAAGACAAGTTAATTTTTACACTGATTACATGTTAAAATAAAACTGTTAGCTATTCTGGATTAATAAGTCATTAAAACTAATTTCACCTGTTTCTTGTAAGCTTTAAAAAGGTGTCTGTTGGGACATTTAAATCTAACATTTGTGGTTCACGTTCGTCTTTCAACAACACAATGCTGCTCCAAATTTTCAGATTCTTCTACACCACCAGGCCTTTCATTCCAAGTCACTGACCATGCTTTCCCCTCCCTGAAGGCTCCCTGCCTTCTCAGCTTCTGTGACACTGCACTACTGTGGTTCTACACTCATCCTCAGCTGCCTCCTCGCCCTCCTCCTTCCACCCGACTCCTTGTGAGTTCCTAAGGTTCACCCAGTTCGCTATTCCAACACCAAGCAGTAAATCTATTTAAGTGACCCATATTTACAATTTACAGTTCTGACCTCAGGCCATCTTCAACCGCTGACACTTCAAAAGTGGTATTTTCAAACCACTTCCTAACTTCCTTACTTCCTTATTTCTCTCTCTTTCTCCAAACCTGAACTCAGTCAGCCTTACACTTGAGCTGAACTGATCTCCTGTCTTGCTCACGTTTCTTCTACATTCCTGTTACTATAACTCTCATCTCTCCCAATTATATAAAAGTTACCTCAATTCTCTTAGGCACTCCAGCCTCACTACCAGACGGATGTGCCTGAAGCAAACCTCTGTCCACGGCAGTGCCACATTTGAAAACGTGCAAGGTAAGAAAAAGCAAGCACTCAGGGCGCCTACAAGCGTCGGGCATACATATGCATCGTGACAGTTCTGATGAAGGAACAAGCGCCATACGACTCTCCGCTTGGCAATGGAGACACTGAGAAGAAGTTAGCGCCGAGTGCCACTCACTTCTGGACCAGGACACACTCGGGGCAGGAGACGCGGAGTTTCACCAGTTGCTCAAGCAGACCCAGCCTAGGGCGCTTCCTCTATCTCGGGCTCCACTCCCGTCCAGAGGGCCACCCCCGACGGCAGCCACCTGCTCCGGGCGGCCGGGGAAAGCCAGCACTTCCGGACCAGAGCTCGGAGGGAGTCACTTTCAGCCTGGCCGCACCGACCCGGCCCCGAGAAACCTGCCGCCCCCCGTTTCCCATGCGGGGGGTCCTCGGTGTCCGCCCGGCCGGACCCCGCCCCTCATCCTCGAGGACGCCCGCTGCGCGGCCCGCAGAGACTCAGGCCCCGGCACTCGGCAGGGACCGGCGGACGCAGCTGGCAGGGACACCGTCTGTCCCTCACATCCCGGGCACGCACCTTCTCTCTCCGCGCCGGAGCGGCCGGCTCGCAGCCCGGGTTTCGCCTCAGCCGCCGCTGTTTTGTTTCCGACAAGAACTCGCGGACCACAGAGCAGGTCGTCCTAGGCCCCGCCCTAGAGGCCTCATCGGTGTCGTAATTTCCGGCCTCCGCAACGTTGGCCACGAACCCCGGAAGGGGACGGAGCTTCCGACAGAGCGCACAGAGGGCGAGGGTTGGGGGCCGCAGCTGGTCTTGCTCTTTTGTAGCTACAATGCTGGGGGTCTAAGATGGTACGCGATTTGAGGCATCTGTATGGCTTGAGGAGAGTCTAGTGTTCTCCCAGGCTACAAGCGATGACATTTTCCCCTTGTTTCTTGGTTGAGACTGAGATTCGTGTGTTCCCTGCCTGTATCAAACATATCATGTAGACAAAGATGATCTTGGAAACCTATTCTGCCTCCAGACTATGGCCCGTTTTTGTGATGACATTTAAAACCGAACACTTTCTATTTCTTCACAGGATTTATTTGTACAGTTCCTCAACATGGATATAACTTATCGTTTGTGCCCTCATAAATCAAAGCGATTGGTGAAAGGAACCTGAGAAACTTCTCTAATATTCTAGGCTCCAAATCTGAAAGTCCTCCAAGAAGCAAGCATATGGAGAGCAGGAAATGTTCCTATTTTGATTTTGCAACATAAAACTTTATGTAATTGCAAAGACGATTATCAACAGTTATGTCTGTAATACTAATTAATACTCAGGAGATGGGGCCAGGTCAGTGAGTTGAGGTAATACTGACTTAACAAATTATAGAGCAAACTGGGCTACACAGGGTGAAATTACCTTTTTCTATTTCCCAGAATGCCTAGTTCTAATACTAGAGCATCCATGTCCATTTTCTCCCTACATTCTCAACCCTGTTTCAATACAGATCACATGCAGCATTTTTTAAGTCATCTTTCCCATCAGCAGAATGGTAGCAGGGACGAGACATACCATACATACCTCATACAATAAACTTCTTTTAGGTAGTCCCCCCCCCCATTGTTCATTTATATGGGAAGAATGTGGAAAATAGTGCAATAATGAAAAAAATGACACACTACTTATTATTGCAACAATGAAAAAATGACACACTGTTTATTAGTTGGATTGATGGTCTTTCTTTTTTTTTTTTTTTTTGGTTTTTCGAGGCAGGGTTTCTCTGTATAGCTTTGTGCCTCTCCTGGAACTCACTTGGTAGCCCAGGCTGGCCTCGAACTCACAGAGATCCGCCTGGCTCTGCCTCCCGAGTGCTGGGATTAAAGGCGTGCGCCACCACCGCCCGGCTTGATGGTCTTTCTATTCTCATACAGAATGTGAGTTGAATTGTGTAGTAGCTGAACTTTTTTTTAATTATTTTTTTTTCCTATGGGTATTTACACCCATTCTTAATTTGGTTCCTTTAAGACTCACGTAGGGAGCTAGGCAGTGGTGCACACCTTCAATCCCAACTTGGTCTACAAGGGGAGAGTTCCAGGACAACCCAGAGAAACTTGTCTCAAAACACAAAACTCAAAGAGGGCAGGGCATCTACACAGTGAGATACAGGCTAGCCCAGGTTAGTGACCCTGTCTCACAAACAAAAGCAACTAAGAAAAGACAGCTAAAAATAGGAAAACAACAACAAAAACCCAACAAAGGCATGCTCTCAAATGCAAAAGATATCAAAATTTTATGTTGTAAACCAAAAGCTGAACTATAAGCAGAAAACTCCATAGCCACTGACATAAAAACCTTTATTCTGCAGTCACAGACCTTCATAGTGACTCCCAAACATTGGATGCTTACTTATATGTATTTGCAATTTTAATTTTCTTCATCGTAGTTAAAAAAAATATACAGATACTTATTTTGGCTCAAGTCTGTGTGTTTTTTCTGTATCTATCAGAGCTGCTATTCATACCAGATTATTTGAAATTTCACTGTGAAGAAAACATCAGCAATTGCTATTACATTGTTCATAGGGAAGCACTTATAAAGCTCAAATCACAAACTTTTTAAAGAACATCCTCAGGGTCTGGCTGGGATAGAGCCTAGAATATCTGCACTGTCCTAGGGCACTATTTTGAAGGGTTAGTTTGATGTTCACTAGAACATATTTCACATAGCTAATTATTTTTCTCAAATATCACCATACTTGTACACTTGTAACCCAGCCCTTTGGATTGCAATGGAAGGAAGCAGCCTGGGAGACAGTAACTTCTGACAGCCTGAAATAGATAGGGAAGCTGTCCATCTCAAAAAACATAACAAAATGGCTGTTCCTTTTAAAAGCTCCTTTAAAGAAAAATATGTTGCCTCTATCAGGATAAAACAATGTACAAATGTCTGAAGTCTTATGCAATTAAATGTACCCCATGGATCAGTTGGCACTAGTATCACCTGGTAATCACAAAATTATACTACCCACCCTACTACATAGGCATTTTAACAAGATAAGACAAAGGTGCCCTGAAAATGTGAGAAAAATTAGTCTCAAACATTTTAACTACTCTTTTTCCTAATACATTTAAACTTTATTTTGGGGTCAAATGAGGAAAAAGAATTTTAGTTTTAAGACCTTCATGGATTTTGTAACTTGAATGAGCAATACCAACCAGCATAAAACCTAAGGTGAATGTGTAGAAGTCTGAATGATTTAAAACAAGCTATAATGGTAAAACCTGGTTTCAAGTATGTCAGACTATGACTTTAATCACCTTTTATACCACCCGCATGATCACCCCAGCTCTACTGAAACGTCTGATTTGATGGTGAGGTGCTATGCAGTATAAGGTACATATTCTTAAAAGCTTCAGGTAAACATTTCTAGTTTTAGAGGTAGCTGAGAGACTAGCAAAGGTAAAGTCATCTACTTTGAATAAAACTTCATGGTAATATTATCGAAACAAAAACCTAACATAAGGTCAAAACAAATGTTCAATGTGTTTAGAAGACAAAGAAACAAAATAAACTACCTAAACAATGTCTTGGGCTGGTGGTGGGATAAATATGATAAAACGCTAATAAATTTATAATTGGAAGGGTGATCTGTATGAACTTTCCCTTGAGAAACTAAAATTTAAAATACATTCAAAACTATGTAGAGATATCCATGGATGATAGCCTCATCCAAAATAAGGTGAATACGGTCTCTTTGATCTTCTGATACCATAAAAATTCATTTAAAAACTTCAGCTCAGTTACAGGTTTTTTCTAGAATATGCACTACACAATTGTAACATAATGCCATTTATTTATAAGACTCAAAGAAAGCATCTCCAAGATCAAATATATACATTTTTAATAACTGAAATATTTACATAATGAAGCCATGTCAAGGTTCAACATTAACAATGTTTTGGATGTCCTCAAGATGTTTTAAAAAAAAAAAGAAAAAGAAAAGAAAAACAGTAACTCAAGCTCACAGTTACATTATCCTAACAAGTCAGTTTTTACCTTTTAATAAACAAACATGGCAACAGCTGCACCTTATTTGTTATAAGAACTGTTTAGAACTTGGTACTTTTCAAATAAATTTTGTCCCCTGGTGATCTTCTGTATTACTAATAAAGTCCAAGGATTTCTCTAAACATGTCATCAATATATTTAAAGTATGATGACCAGTAATAAAAATTTATGGGCAAGAAACTGCCATGAATGATGTATCTTTGGAAGAAAGATGTAAACAGTTAACTACCATGGTGAATTATTATTTTGTTTTGTCAAAATCTCTTTTGTAAACTTACCTTATTTACTCATTTATTGGTGCTAGGGACAGAACCCAGGCCCTCTTTCATACTAAGCATAGTAAGCTCTTCCACTGAGGTACCCCCTGGTCATTTGTTTTAAAGAAGGTGGGCTCCTCTCCTCCCTTATACTTTTGGAATTAATTTTGTTTTATTAAAAGGAATACACTCAAATTAAACAAAGACAAGTTAAGTTGAAAATGTATTGAGTAAAATGCTCCAGGACTTAAGAATCTGCTTCAATTCTGAGCCATCAAGTTGGAGGAAGAGATAAGACTATGATGTATCATCCTATTCACAGAGATCATAAGAGATCATCCTATTTCATAGAGAAACACAAATCTGTTTATCAGACTGTTGCTCACTGCAGAATACCACGCTCTGGGAAACTCACACCGTAATTTTACTAGTTACTTGGGTTGGCACAATTATCACTTTTCCTTTATGAGTCTATTGGTGAATTACGAACTGTTTAAGGGAGCCCACCAAAGGAAATTTAAAAAAGACTTTTATACATACATTCACATGAACACATCAATACAGAGAAGATACACTAGGAATGACCGTCAGCTAGTTTTTGCACTCTAATTTTAAACTCCATGCCTTTACAAGGGCTTGCCATTTCTGATCAGGGGAGTGAGATGAGATGGTAATGGGTATGACTAGTATTAAAATTATTCATGTTGGTGCCTATACAGTACAGTTTTAATATTAGGTGGAATCCTGCAAAAGAATTGGGGAGTCATTTCAATATTTACAAGGAACAAATCAGCAGAACAAGATTACATGAGATAGGCTGTGTACAGTAGCTGCAGCTTATAAAACACCAGCAATTTGTACCTGGTGAGTATAAAGAGAACCAGGGATTTAGAGGACTTTACAACCAAGTGCGTACACAGGGCACCAACAAATTAGAAGACAAAAGAATTCACATTTTCTACATTAAAAAAAATTACAGATCTCACAAATGTCTTTGAAGACACAGAAAATTCAAAGTTCTTTGAAGGGTGTGAAAGAAGACATCTGAAATGTAACTCTGAATGTAAAAAGAGTTTTACTTCACAAGACCAATTTTCTTGGCTTCTGTTTCATATATCAATAATCTCCACATTTTGACTATAAAAACTTCTGCTTCTTCATCTAGTACCTAGAAGACAAAAGACAGTAAAACATATAATTAGTGGTATGTCAAATTGGCAGTAACATACAAATTCTTACCCACCAAACACAATCAACATAATGACCTAAAGAAAAATTGTCCAGTATGAAAAATAATTTAAACAGAACATTTAAGTTACCAAAAGAAAGATAATGATTCAGCCAAATCCCATGACTTAATAAATAATAATTCCATTGTACTTTTGTTTACTGGTT